TATATATTGATTTATTTCAAATCACTATTTATTACTAAAAATACTTGAAAAATAAGATGTACATAGTATATTATTTCATAATTAATTTATTTTTTATTATATATTAGAGAATAATATATTTAATATATAGTACAAAGATTTATAGTAAAAGATTTATATATAAATTATATTCAGAAAATTATATTAATAATGCATATTAACATACAATTTATGAAAAACATTTTTATTACAATATTTTTTATTTTAATAAAAATTATAGTATTAAAATGTCAAGACTTATTCAAAAAATTTAAAAAATATCATAAAAATTTATAATATTATAAAAATATATAAATATTATAAAAATATATAAAATTTATTAATATTTAAAATATTTAAATAACAATTTTCTTATTTATTCAAATATGATAATAGAATTAAATACTAACCTTTTACTTGCTTAATCGCTGTTTTTGCCAAATCTAACCAATGCTGAAACAGATTCGTTAAATATCATTAAATATAATCTATTATGTTAATTATTATTTTATTTCAATTATTATTAATTTTACACAAAGATAAATATAAAACTAATATAATTCTAAAATCTAACAAATTAATATAAAATTGTATATCATTAATTATATAAATTAATTATATAAAGTATTATAATATATTTTTTAATATTCAAATTTTTAATGAATTACTATGAAATATTACTAAATTATTATTTTGATACATAAACAAATATATACTTCTCTTACAAATTACAAATTAAAATCATATAAAAAAATAGTTTATTATATGATGTTATATTTTATTGTAATATTTAAATCATATTTACATATATATATATTGATATACACAAAACTTTAATAAATCACATATATTAATTGTCATTTATATTTATTTTTTTTTATTCAAATATAATGTAATTTTTATTTAATAATTTTTTGATATTAATATAATGAATTAATATACAAAATAATTAAATTTTTTGTTAGAAATAAAAAATTTTCTCTTTTAATATTAAAATTTTATTATATATTATTTAATCTAATTAATTTTTATTTAACTATTATATAACTTCATATAAATTTCAAAATTTAATTATACTTTATATCAAATATACTTTATGTATTATTAACAAAATCTTACATTTCCTATTAATATATGTGTATTATCTTATTTAAAATTAGAAATATTTTCATATTGAATAAGTAAAATATTGCTCCCTAAATTTCTTGTCCTTCATACAGTAAATTTTACAAAAATTCATATATCTTCTAAACTAATATTCATATATCTTCAAATTAATATATCTTCTAAACTAATAATTTTTGAATATAAATAAGTTAATCCTTTTTTATTTTTATAAATAATATTTTATAAATAATATTTTTATAAATAATAATTTTATAAATAATAATAAATAATATTAAATTTTATTAAGTGGTGCAATAAAAAATATGTAATCCTATTTAAAAAAATAATAATTAATGATTCATATATGTTCTATCATTTAAAAAAAAAAAACTATTATCAAAAAATATGTTTTTTCTGAAGTTCTATTCTATGTGAGAAATTCTTTTTTGTTATTATAATAACAGTGACATAAAATAATATCTAGAGATAATAA